ATGTTCCCAATCTTTCCTACTGGACTCTGGGGGGTTCCAGGGCCCTCGAAAGCGCGATGCGGATGCTGCAGCGCCTCTTTGTGACTTTCGGCGATCCGATGGAAGCAGGGTCAGCGCCACAATTCAAACATTGAGATCAATCAAGGACCCTACAGTGGAAGCCCATGCCAAGAAACACCCTGCATGCCTCCAAGTTGCCCTGGGTTTCTTTGGTTTCGATGTTTCTAGGATGGAAAGCGTGACGCCGCCATAGCAGTAATAAATGGACACCCTAGGGTCTTAGGGTTGGATTTCTTGTGGAAGGTTTCTTGTGGTCGAGGTCCTACTGTATGGTGTTGGCCTTCTCGCGGCGCTGCGTGCAGCCTGTACTGGCAGACCGTTGGGAGGACGCTGCAGTCCGCTCTGGCGGTCTGGCCAGTGTTGTGCCTACGGGGAGTCCTCTAAAAACGGCACGCTACGACGGGCCTGTTCTGGATTATTTTTGAATATTTGTGGCGCTAAAAAAAATCGTCCACAATCCGCCTGTAGGGGGACAGGCCCGACCTAACGCTACGATCATCACCACTGTCAAGCCTTTGGTCATCGGTTCTTGTTCGTTGTCTTGCCGATCGGCGCAGCCTCTCACAACCCCCCTTCTCTGTTCTGGCGCCTGCTTTGGGCTGTTTCTGGCGCCCGTTTCAAGCAGGTGGAGTCTCCCCCATATGACGTATTGTTGCAAACAGTCGCATTAAGCAATGGTCTGGAGCCAGACCCCCCCCTCCCGCCCAATGTCGAAACGCCAAATAAGAAAGCGTCCACCTGTTCAAAAGAGAAAGGTACAAGTCGTGAACATTCGTACCACGATTGTGTCTGGTGATCGGGCCCCTTTTTGGTGCAGTCTGATGCCGTTCTTGAAGCGATAAGGGTTTCTCTCGGATGCACGTGTGGGAGTTTTGAGACACGCTGGGGCTCCATTGAGAGCCCCAATTCTCCAGTGATATTGTCGGTAGCCATGGTGGATCAAGCCCTTGTTCCAAGATTTGTCGCTTGAGTTAGTTCCTCGTGTAAGCGACGGACGAGAGACTGGCGGCGCTCGAGAGACATCGCAATCCATTCTTAAAGGTCGACGGTCGAGAGTGATGGTGGATGCAAGCGCGTCGGAAATTATTGGGACGGAGCCCACAGACACTGGCAATATTAGGCGCCATAGATGCTATGGATCAAGTATCATCGTGTGCGCGATGCATGCAGCAGTTGTGGCATGTGTGATGGCGGGGATCGTTGTGGGTGCGCAGTCTTCACTGTTCACCTCTACTGTTCACGTCGGGCCCACCAAGAATCAAGTGCCAGAAACGGCTTTGCAGCATTACCAGTCGGTCAGTTCTGCTCAAGTAGAGCAGTTGACGCAGCAGGTCTTGGAGCTGAAAGCCAAGCTGTCTGAACAGGAGCGGCAGAGGGAGAGGGCACGTGCTGAGGAGGCGGAGCAGCTGAGGAAGCAGGTCCTGGAACTCCAAGGCCAGCTGTCCTCGGATCAGTCGAAGCGGCTGGTCCCCCCCGAGCCTCAGCGTGGCAGCGGAATCGAGAGGGCTGCGGACAGATTTTTGCAGGCACCTCTGCCCCCAAAAGTCGAGAGGTTCTCTGTCGAGCGACCGCTCGTGTTCATCCACCAGAGGAAGGCGGGCGGCTCTTCCCTGCGAGTCATCATGGTTGGTGTCTGCAAGAAGAAGGGGCTCACATATCACATCAAATGCTTCCCGAACATGGGCGAGACAAGATGCGACTCCTATAGCTACGGTGATTCCATAGTGGCCGTCTATGGTGGGCATGTGGACTGGCTGCAGATGTCCCGCATGTTTGCGCGGCGGGGCCGCTGGGACACTTCTGACAAATCTTGGCACCAGGATGTTGCGCAGTTTTCCTGTTTTACGAACTTCCGAGACCCGTTGTCGCGCATAGAGTCGTGCTATTATTTCCGGTTTCACAATAAGGGCAAGGGTGCCCCTTCTTGCCTGGCCGATTTCGCGCCCGAGGATATGAGAAGATTCTTTCAGGCGAGTCGTTCTGAGTACGGGTATAGCTGTATGAACGAGCCATTCCGCATGTTGAGCAGCTTCGTTGACGAGGCGTTGTTTAGCACATATGACGACAGCCAGGAGTGGGAGCTCGCCTTCAGTAGAACATTGAACAACCTTGCCCGCTGCGTACCGCTGATAATGGAAAATAGCAAGACGCTCGATGTTGTTGCCTCATGGTTTCCACAATTCGGAGATGTAGTGAAATTCCCCAAGGTTCATTCCATGACGGGCGGCAGCCGAAAGTGTGCCCTCTCCGAGCAGCACTTGGACGTCTTGCGGGATCTGACGAGGCAGGAGCGCAGACTGTACGACCTGGTTCTGAAGAGGGCCCAGCAGTTCATTTCGTCCAGCGCACGCTAGTCACCAGCGCTTCCATCACCACCTTCCTCCTGCTACTTCAGCGAGGAGAAGGATGTGCAGTAGCAGGTTGAGCAGGATTTGCCTCC